AGTTGGAATGACCAGAGACACATGAAAGTTGGTCCATTCTTCATGGTGACCTTGATTTTCAGAACATAGGTAGGGTCCTGAGAGGCCCTATAAACTAGTCCCTTCACTTTATTAACAAGGAATCTGAAGGTCAGAGAGATGAGGGCAGGAGCCTGAAGCTGCAGCATCTGTACAGAATGCAGAGCCCCAGTGCCCAGGCCAGCACCCTTCCCTTGGCTTCTCACTACCTGGCAGCCCTCTCCCTGCCAGCCCTAGCGCCCAGCAAGCCAGCACCTCACATATGATTGCAATTACCATGGGCTTGGCCAGAGCCCAGCTATACTGCGAGCACATCCAGACCTGGTCACTGGCCAAGTTTCCATCTCAATAGAAAAATGAAAAGGTTCAAGGGCTACATGTTAATCCCAAACACACGAGCGGGAAGAAGTGGGTGAGGGGGAGAGAGCTAGCCAGGATTTCTCAGGGCAATATCAATCCACCAAGGGTTCCCCAACACCCCCAAGAGGCAGAGTGTCCCTTAGCAGTAGAGAATAGGCTGTTTTGTAGTGACAAACCCTTTGCCTTCAGGCCCTCAATGGAATTCAGCTGGTAAGACTTGGCTGAGGGGATCCCATAACAGTCACCCCTCAGCTGGCTCTTTTTTGGTGCTATTTTCCACTACCTTTATGTTTCTATCCTTTACTTCAACATCCCATTCCCTGCTATGGAAGGAAACAGAGACACAGAAATCAAGAGACTCGTTTGAGGTCAGGTAGTCACTGAAGAGTGGAGATGGGCTAAACACAGGCCTCTGGGCAGCCAGCCTGGTAGCTAGCCTCTCTCTTGATGCTTCCAATGGTCCAACCTCTGCCTACAATGCTCCTCTTTCTCCTGCCCACCATAATGCCCAGCATCTGATGGATTGTCTGGCTTCATCTGCCCCACAGCTTGCTTTGTGACTCTGGTTGGGTCCCAGATTTCACCCTAACTGCCAACTTGTGCACCTCAATGTTGACATCTTCTCAAGGCTTCCAGTTTAATTTTCCATTCTAATGTTTCCTCAGTCCTTCCTCCCTTGAGACTAATGTTCCTTTTCTACCAGGCTTGAAATATTCCTGATAAATGCCCTCTTCCAGCTTGCCCTAACTCTTAAGAAGTCCTATCTGTGAGCTGTGCTTGGTTCTGACTTCAGGGAGGGCAAGCACTTGAGTGCTTGACCAATGATATATATGCAACTACCCTTTGAGAGAGGGCTTTTCACATGCCATGTACTGGGAGAACCACACCTCTCTGCCTTGGGGGCAAAGGAGTTAATATTTTGCTAGAATTCTACTAATACTGGGATATGCTAAAAACCCTCTGGATGACAGTAGCCATCAATTAAATATCAACTGTCAGATACAGAAGAGCTGTGGCTCCACAGGGAAGGGAACAATAAACTTTTTGATTGCTGATACCCCCAAGGTGATACAATCCCTCAGAAAATGAGCTCCATCTGAGATAAATGTGCTTATTTACCCCAACTTCTAGACTGAGGATAGCCTGGGGCCTACAGCCAGGCATCTAAGCAACGCTGAGCTCCAGATTGCAGCTTCTTGCCGACTTGGGGATTTACAGGCTTTCTGGACAGGCAGAGCTGCCTCAGTGTTGAGGCCAGCAGCCAGCAGCCGGGTTCCAAAAGGTTGGCCAAGGTTTTTTCAGAGGCTCTGTGAGAGGCCCCTTGGGAAAAATGCCTCTGCAACACAGGGGCGTTATCTCATCTTCCATCTCCCTAGAGTCAAAGCCACAGCAAGGCATTTTCCTAACCAAGATGGAGGTGGAAGATGTGGGGGTGACTGGGGGAGCAGAATGTGGAAATGAAGCATTATTCTCCAAAGGTCATCTCTCTTTTTCTGCTTTCAAAAGGGTCAATGATCACTTTGTGTTTAAGCCAATCTTGCTTTTTTCAAAGAAATGAGAGAAAAACATGTTTTTCTAGGTCTAATTATAAAAGCCATAAGGCTAGAAAGATAAGGAGAAACGATCTGTCTCCTAGGCAGCCTGCACTAGGTACACACCTAAGCACCTAGGGAGAGATTGATCTAGAGCCCAGGCATAACCTTGGGCAGAAACTCCATCAGTAGTCCTGGGCCCCCCAATCTGAAAACTTTACCCACCCCGAGTCCATCAATAATGTCATTGGTGGAGTTCAAGTCATTTCTTCCATTTGATCCTCATGGGAACTAGAAAGGAGCTAAGAGACTAGAAGAGCCAGTGATTTGGGTCCTTCTGGAAACTTAAGGAAGTGGGTGGGGAGAGGGAAGTCTCTCATTCACACCAGCATGCCCAGTCCTTAATCTTGCACTGTCCCATGAAAGGACAGGTCCTGAGCTGGAGTTGTCCACAGATCTGCTCATCAGCCTAAGAAAATGCAGTCAGTCTTCTGGTTCTGGCCTTGGAAAACAGTGGCTGTCCTTCGATTTCCTGTTTTAAGTATGTGCTAGAGGGGGGAAGTTTGGAGATGGAGAAGGCTCTTGTTTTCTTCCCTACCAACCCAAACTACAACTCTCAGGTCAAGTTGCATGGGCTTGGGGCCAGAAGCAACTGGTCTCCCAGGGTCCCTCTGATGCTGACCAGCTTTGAGCTCTTAAGCCAGATCTTGGTGGTACCCGGACCGCTGCTGCTACAAACCTCTCCCTGTTGATAGCCCTGCCTACTCATGAGGAAGTTTTCTAAACATGAGACAGACATAAGAAGCAGACAGGGAGGGAGAAGGCCTAGGAATGGGAGCTGAGCCCAGTCAGGAAAGAGGAGGCACTGAGGCCCCACTGGAGCCTGGATACACTCGGCCTCTCAACCTTGCTTTGACTCTGTGCTGAGTCCGGGTCTAAGAGAGTGGCTAGAGCCTGACCCCTTGGTTCAGTCAGTCAGAATATGGGTTGTCCTGAGCAGGCCAAGTTCAGGCATGACTTCATGCCCTGGATACTCCAACCCACCTACCCAGGAGAGCTAATCCAGTCTCAGGTTAATGAAGCACTGTGCACTGCTGTGCCCCAACACCTAGAGGAAGTCCAGTACCTGGCTTTGTGGCATTCGGCCTGGCCTACGTCCCTGCATCCAAGAGCCTCCTGAAAAGTGGAGGGTATTTGGGGTTCCTGGCTCAGATTTCCCTTAATCCCTACTCCCTTGAACTCCCACTTCCAAAGATAATGAAACAACTCCCGTCAGGATCGTGAGCTTCGAAGGAGGCCTTCAGACCTTGCACATTCCATGGCTGATCTTTGGTCCCTTCTCAGCCTGAATGAACAGAGTGAAATACAGCATTGGGTTACCACCCAGCTCAGCCATGCTGCTGTCTCAGGGAAGAGACCTCAAAAGGAATCCCAACTCTAGCCAAGGAAAATATGAGTCAGGTCTGACTGCCAGGTGGCTTCTTTCTCCCCACCTTCCATTACCACCACCCCCATCCACCCCAGAGCCAATGAGCTATTGGGTAACCCCAAGACCCCACTCCTACACAGCCTATAGTCAGCCAAGGCATGCTGGCAGGATTCTAGAAACTTGGTCTGCTGTGTGTCGCTACCTCTGGAAGCGCAGGAAGTGTGGAACTCTTAACTTGAACCATCTCGAAAGGGGCAAACGCATTGACTGTGGCTGTCCTGCCTTCTGCCTGCTTTGGCTTTCCCTGAGCAGGAATCTCTTTTGAGGTATGGCAACTGTACTCAGAGGAAGAGCCAACACCTGCTGAAACTCCTATCCCACATGTACAGGAAGACATTTTCTGACCTCTTCTTACCATTCCATCCAGAGCCTTCCCTCCTCCTACAGGTTGAACCTCAGGTTGAATTCTTTGTGTTTGGGGAAACTGCTACCACCACAGGACTTTGTAGAAAAATCTCTCCTACCTTTGTGGCTTCTGATTTGAAAGCATTTCTACTCTTTTTCTCCAGATGGAGTTCCAGGTTCACATTTACAGGGGCTCTAGGTCCTCTTTTGTTCACTTTAAAACAGCATTGTCAGAACCCGCACATGGCATAATGGTTATATTGCCGGACTCCTACATAGTTGACATGGTTCAAGTCCCGGACTTGGCGGCTTAAAATTCATGCTGGGCACCTGGGCAGTGTGCCTAGAATCCCAAGAAGAGAATGAAGGAGAAGGGATTGCAGCATAGCCATCCCCCTGGAGGATGATTTCTCACTTTCTGTCTCTGTCTCTCTGTCTCTCTGGTGAGCGCATGTACCCTATAGCAAAAATCTCTTTCTTAAAATAAAATAAAACAGCATTGCCAGAACCAACAGATGGCATAATGGTTATGTCACTGAACTCCCATGTAGTCAACTATAGTTTGAGTCCCAGACCTGACGGCTTAAAACTCACAAGGGGTGCATGTGCATGTGTGCTAAAAATCCCAAGAGGAGAATGGAGGAGAACAGATTGCTGTGTGATTATCCCCCTGGGAGGTGATACCTCGCTTTCTGCCTCTCTGGCAAGTGCACACATTCTCTAGCAAAAATCTCTCTTAAAAAACAAAACAGAACAAAACAAAAGCAGCATTGTCTAATAGAAATATAATGTAAGCCATAAAGGAGTCACAATACAATTTAATATTTTCTAATGTAAAAAATTAGTTTTAATACTGTATTTCATTTAACCTAGTATGTTTACATCAACCAATATGAATATTATTTTAACCTTTAATTCATAAAAAATTATTTTATTAGGGTATGAAAGAGCGAGGGGAGCACCCTCCATATTCTGGTCATGCCATAATCTCCTTCCACCAGCTCTCTAGCTCATCAGATTTGGGGCACTCACAAGCCCAGTGTGTCTTAGGCCAGCTGAGTTGGGGATTCAAGCCATAGTCACCATGTGGCTTTTAGTACTGTGGTTCAGCATGCTACTGCTTGCGCCACAACAGCCAGGCCATAGAAACGCTATGAATGAGAAATTTTACCTTCTTTTTCCTATTTAAGTTTTCTAGAGCTGCCATAACAAATTACCACAAACTGATAGCTTCAAACAACAAAAATTTATTGTCTCACAGTTGCAGAGGCTACAAACCAGAAATCAAGGTGTCAGCAAGGCCCTGCTTCTTTCTGGCACCTGTTGGTTGCCAGCAATTCTTGGCATTCCTTGACTTACAGTTGTACCATGCCAGTTTCTGCCTCCTCTGGCATCACATGGCCTACTTCCTCCTCTGTGTGTCTCTGTCTCTTCACCTGGCCTTCCTGTAAGGGTACCAGTTGGTGGATTTAGAGCTCACCCTAAATCCAGTAGACTCTCAACTGATTATATCTGAAAAGAACCTTTTCGAAATAAGGTCACATTCCAAGATTCCAAGTGGACATGGATTTTAGGGAGACACTACTCAACTCAAAACAATGTTGTATTCAGCTTTATCTAGTAAGCAAAGTCAGCGAACTCTCATCTGACGGATTTTTGGCTCCCAAGATTCTGTGGATGCAGTCTGTTCTTCTGTTGTCTTTGTCCCTTTATTTTCACTTTTGTGAGCCTTAGGGCAAGACCAAAGCTAAAACAAAAGAGATGAGATCAGTTTCAATAACATGTCTTATTTCACTCAATGTACCTAAAATATTACCATTTTAGGGACCAGCCAGCGGTGTGGTGGCTGGAGCAGCTATATTCTACATGCATGATTCAAGTTCTGGACCTACCTACTTGAGAAATACACTGATCCCAAAATCCCCAGAGGAGAATGGAAGGGAAGGGATTTCAGTCTGGTCAAACCACCTGGGAGGCACTTTCCCACATTCCCTCTATCTCTTTCTGTCTCTCTTCCACAAGCACATGCACCCTTACAGCACATTCCAAGTCAGATTAGCCACTTCTGAAGCACTCAACAGCCACGTGTGGCTAAGGGCTGGCTTACTGCATAGCACATCCCAATTAAAAGAAAAGGAGTGAGACTTCAGCAAAGCTGGCAATGCCCCTGGGAAGGCTGGCGTGTCCCAGGGGTTGGCATTTTTTGATGATTTTACCACCTCCACTGTCTCTCCTGATTACCTCTCGTCTGTGAGAAATGTTGTTTCATGTGGCGGTGCAGGGAGGGATTCCTGTAACACAAGCTCACAGGACTTCTGTAACAAACCAGAAGATGGATGTGTTCACTCATGAGTAGAATGATGACCACCTGGTTGCTCTTTTGTCTGCACTCGCAGTCCCTTCCTTCCCTATAGGCACAGTTCTGGGAATCCAGTCCTAGTCCTAGTCCCTCAGAACTAGGGACTTTCCTTACTGAATGTGAGTGATTGAAAATCTCAGGCAAAAACAGTGTGAGGCATCCACCTTCCCAACAATTGTGGCTATGACTGGAAGAAGACAGCCAGACTCCCCGTGCCTGGCAGTGGGAGAGGATATGGCCATGTGCCAGAACAGGCTTTTTTCAGCCCCTGTCTTACAGACCTGGCCCATTCTTTTCTCTTTAGATATGTCCGTCTTCCTGGCCTGGGACCCATTCTGTCTCTTTGTAGGATGTCTTTGCCTTTGTCTGCATTGATTTCTGTGTGTCAATGTTACCGTCAAACTCAAAGAACCACCTAATTTCTTCAGGAATGGGCTCCCTCATTTTGCTCGCCTGGAATGTCTGCAATTCTTTATTCTCCTGGATCTTGTTCCATATCCCTCTGTTGTTCTGAGAAAACCAAGAATTATAGAAACCAGACTTGGAAGCTGAGCCCCACATGTGTCTTATCCACCTCTTGGACTCTGGAGCTGCTCATAACAGGGGAACAGCCTGCTCAGGATGCACACATGCTAGGAGTGCAGCAAGAGCTTCCTCCCCACCCCCACCCAGCCTACCTGTCCTCAGGTCCCAGAAGCAATGGTCCTGAGGCAGGCAACAGGATGACGAACGAAGCCATCAGTTTCACACTCTGGAGCAGTCACTGGACAAAAAAGGGAGTAGAGAAAAAGAGATGACAGGTACAGGTATGAGGAATCTCTGATGTTAATTCAGAGCTGCCAGTCCCTGAGACTACTAATGACTTGAATCTTTCTCTCTCTTGCTCTCGCTCTCCCTCTCACTCTCAGACACAAACACATCTTGAGAGCCTTCCCATTTATTTCCTGCAATGCACAGACCTCACAAAAAGTGACTCAGCCTTACATAAGAAAAGAGAATTTGAGGCGGACCAGGAGCGTGATGACTCATTGCCTTGAAATTTCCAGTGCGTTACACATGTTTTCTTAGATGATTTTTAAATTTTATCTTTAATTGTAAAAAAAATGTCTTGGGGGTTTTGCATCAAAATAAGAAAGAATAGTTGTCATGGAGGGGTTGGTAGAGATAGAAGGCCGAGGACAAGGACCTCTCAGGTCAGGCCTCAGAACATTCTGATGAGAATCCAGAACTCTCCTCTCAGGACCTCATAGCATTTCAAAACAATAATACAATCATCTCATGTAGCAAGCACCAATCGTTGGGTGCCTAAGAACAACTTTGACTGAGGGCAGTTGTGACCAACTTCAATGTCACCTCTTACTAAAAACCTACAGAGGCTGTAGGGCAGTGTTTCCCAGTCAGTCCCTTGGGGAACTTTTAAAAATCCCAAAGCTGGGGGCTGGAAGGTGGCATGGTGGTTACGGGCACTGGACTCCCACATGACAGACCCTGGTTCAAGTTCCAGACCTGGTGGCTTACTTTTTCACTTTCCCTCTCTCTCTCTGTCCCTCTCTGGTCAAATTTAAATAAATAAATAAATAAATAAATAAATAAAATT